GGGGCTCTGCCTCAAACCTCCCCCAGATGCCTCCAGGCCCTCACCTTGAAAGCCCTGTCTCTTCACAGCGTCCTCCAGCAGCGCCTCGCTCGAGTCCCTCTCGCTGGCGGCTGAGACAGGGGACATAAGAGGAATTAGGATTCGCGGTGCCGCCGAGGGGGACGCACAGGAGGGGGGTTCCAGCCAAAAAACGAGGTGGGGAGGGAAGGCAAGAGACGCGTTGTAGGAAAACGCCCTCACTCCTCTCCTACCTAGTCCTTAACGGCCCGGCTGCCGGGCGTCTCGCAGCCTACCTTTGGCTGCCGGGCTGTCCGACGCCGGCTCCTTTACGCCCTCCGCCAGCAGCTCCGGTCTGGAAAACAGCAAGAAGCAGAGGGCATGCAAGTGAGCTCCCGGCCAGCGACACTCCGCTGCTCCAGCATCCCCTAGGACAAGCCACAAACCACTAACCGTGTCTGGCTAACGCAATTTTAAAGCTCCTGCAATGCAGTGGGGGAACTTCAGAAGTAATTTTCATGCCGACAGACTCTTTAGTGAGCCGATGTGACGCTCCTCGGGATGAGATTAAGCTGGCGATGGCTGAGCAGCTTAAATCAGCGGTTACAGACTTTTAGGAGACATGGTCCTGCATGTTTCTCGGGGATGGGAGAAGCCGTGCACGGCTCCTTTCAACGTACAATTGGCCCCAAAAATTGTCACTTGGGTATCTAATGCTAAAACCGCACAGTGAGGTGAGAGCAGGGCTCGTTACGAGCTGCGCTGAAGCTGCGCTACAGAGAAAGGGGTCTGGGATGGGGAGAGGAGAACCCCCAAAACGTGGTCGGGCTGGCCTGGGAGCTGCTGGTCTGATGCCGTAAAATCTTTGCGCTCCCAACGTTTATTTTCCGTTTCAGCTTCCCGCCACGTTGGTTGCACAGCTCCCTCCTCTGCAAGGGAGGCTGAGTCAGCATTTGGGTGAGAAACCCCCCAAAACACCTAAAGACATTTTAAAATCCATTTCTGCTGGATCCATTCCCTCTTTCAGGGCAACGCTGTTGTGTTACATCGGTCGTGGCTGCTCACAGCCCCCCCAGCTCCTGTGACACCCCTTGCTCCCCAGTGCAAGGACAGCATCTTCCCTGATGCCCACAGCATCCCACTGAGGCACAGATGTGAAGATCTGGACCTTGAATGGAGCCGCTTCCCATAAGAAAACCCTCCAGGGCTCCCAGCCCCATTCCTTGCCCCACGCCTGAGCACCCTGAAGGTTAAAGGCTCTTACCCACCCTTGGGTGCTCCCTGCTGCTGTGGCCAAACCTTTGCAAAAGCAGATTAAAACCCCAAAAGACATCAAGGGAGAGATGACAACACCGCTGCCTCTTCGGGATGACTCCAACAAGCCAATAACCCTTGGTTGCTTCTAACCAAGCAAATTTATTGAAGGTGACCAAGTGATGGATGTTCCCCAGGACACCGCACAGCACCAGGAGCGCCGAGCATCCTCCCCAAGGGACGGCCGCTCCACCTGCCTTACCTTTTAATGACAAACTGGATGTTGTTGCTCGCTTGCAGGATCTTCTTCAGCTTCGCAATCCCGAAGCAGTTGGGGCGCCGCAGCAGGATGCCCTCCGGCAAGCCCACAACGAAGAGGTCCTCGGGATACATCAGGAACTTGGAGTAGGGAACTTTGACTGGCTCCGATATTCCTATGGCTTTCGCTGCATGGGGACCAAATCTCGTTAGTTTGCTGGACCTCCACGTTGGGTCAAAGCAGCAGTGACACGATATTTTGGTGCAGGGCTGGAGAGGTTTTTGGAGAGTTTGTTGTCACTCTGTGCCTGGTGGGGATGTCCCTGGTGGGGATGTCCCTGATGCTGGCAGACACAAGCCGAGGGACAGAGCCACGCAGCCGCTGGGAGCTGGCTTTTGCATTTGCTGCATTAACACAGCCTGCCTTTCAGTGGCACACGTTGAAGGGCCTTCCTATAAAGGTTGCAAGCATCTCTTCACAAGGCAATGGGACCCCACGTCCAGACCTCCAAGGACGTCTCACTGCCAGATGAGGGGACAGGGAACATGTTTGGGGGTGCCCTACCAGCCCGTGCAACCCAGCGCGGTGTGGGCTCCCTCTGCTCCACTAAATATTGCCAATAAGCAACCAAACAGCTAGTGCCAAGCAGCGCTGTTTGGCCAGAGGTGAAAAACCAGGACAAAATCCCACGAGTGTGGGCGAGGACTCCCAGTCCGTTACTAAAGCGTGGGGTACATCCAGGCCATCGCTCTGCCGGCTGTTCCAGCTGCAGCCCCAGCGCCTAACCCTGCCCGAGAGCATCCCTTCTCTTTTCCCCTGATCACCAGGGGCCCCTGGCTTTTGGGGACTGCCACGTCTCCTGGTCCTGCCAGTGGCAAAAACTTTCTGTCAGCTCTCAAAATGCACATGTGATCTCACTTGTATTTTGTCTGGGTTAAATAATCTTTCTAAAAAGGGGTGAGCAGAGCATGCCGAGTGCCAACCCCCGGCGCCGGTGTCCTGCCAGCCTTCCTGGGCCATGCCATGACCACCTCGGGTGGAAAACCCTCTCTGATATTTCAAACAAGTGATGGGGGGGAACACTTTGGTCCTTTCCTCTGTGTGAAGAAGGCTGAAGGTCACAGCAGCAATTCCTGGCCTGCAGCCAGCAAAAAGGCATCAAGCAAACCGAGGGGAAGAGCTGCAATAACAGGGCCCAGGAAGGTTTCAAATGCATTTGTAAGCCCAGCAGACAGCAAATGAACAAATTAGATTGCACCTTTACTCAGCCACTGTTTTGGAAATGGTAGGTGACGTTTCTGAGCAATTAGGAGCTCCCCACGCCAAAGGCCGGCACTCGGCATGATGAACATGTGTTAACGACCGTCTTACCATATCTTGTGTTGAACAAAATTTCAACTTGTTTCCTCAAATGACTTAAAACGTCCCCTATACCATCTGCAAAAAAAAAGAAAAAGAGAGAAATGCTGTGAGAAATCAGCTGCCTCTGGGGCAAGCAACGCGCAGCGCAGGCGAGCAGCCCCGACCTCCGGCAGAGCTGACCGCGCACTCTTCGCGCCTCCCAGATCGGTGCCGGTCCTCCGGCAGCTGCCTCCAAGCTCATCCCTGTGTGAGGAAGGGCAGCGATGCCCCTGCCACAGAGCTGTGCTAGCAGCAAGGAGGAAAAAGATAGGGAAAAAAGTAAATCCAGGCAAGAGAGGGGAGGATAGAGCCCGAGAACACGGCAGTGTCCTTCCACGCTGAGCTTTTCGGAGGCTGAATGCTTTGCTGATAAGGTAGGAAGCCCAGGAAACCCAACCCAAAATACATCTGTGTTCATTCATCCTTCCAAAAACTCGCAATGATCAAGCGATGCTCCGGGTTCATCGCACACTCACCTGATCCATCCATCTGCTTTTCCTCATGTCGCGACTCCTCGCTGGACCCCTTCTCTGTCCCTGCCGAGGAAGGGGAGGGTTAACGGTGGCCAGTGTAAGCAAAACCAGACCAGATATGAGCAGGAGGTCTCCGGGTCCCCTGCAGTCACCCAACCGCCCCCTCCCCTCATTGAGCTCTGAGCACGCAGCCCCAGCGCAGGCTTGGGACTGGCAGCATCGCGCCAGGAGCTGCATAAGCAGAACAAACCCATCACCTACATCTAAGAGGTCTGCCCGCCCTTCGGCGTGGGCTTCCTGGGAGAGGCGAGACCCAGTGCTTCGGCATGAGCGAGGGCAGCCGCAGCGCCGGCACAAATCCCCCAGGTAAATCCCAGTTGTAAGCTGGGCAGAGAAGCTGGAGTTTGCAGTGAGCTGGGGCTGGAGAGAGTCTGGGAAGGAGCGGCGGTGGCGGAAAAGCCACCAGTTTGTCTATCAGGGCTCCCTGCTGGCCTCATTGAGGCCACGACTCTGGAAGTGGGTCCCAACTCCATCACCTTGGCTTATAAACGGTGTTTACTCATTTCTCACACACACACAAACTCCCGTGCCCCCGTGCAGTCTCCTGGATGCTTCATTTCTGGTACCTGCTACCGTTTCTAGGATGTAGTTTGACTCCTCCGAGGCCATATGCGTGGGCACCGGGTCGTGCACCTCATCGGAACCAGGCGATCGGTCTGCGGACAAAACCCCACGGGCAGTTTTTGTTTCATGCCAGGGGGCACCGTCCCCAAAACACGGTTCAGAGGGTCCTGATCCATCAGCAAGGGCTGAGCGAAGGGCCCCCCGGCCCCGGGAGCCCCGCACACCACGGCCCTGCAGCAGGAGCTGCTCCGGGGGTGCATTTGCCTTCTTCCTCCTGGGACCACCCGGAGCTCATCCCTGAAACACACCCGACCTCTCAGCCCGAGGGAAAAGAGCAAAAGTTTCTTCCTAACCTCTGTGGAAGATGAAGAGCAAAAATAGTTCAAAATTATTTACTTGGCTTAATTCCATCTTGACACTCAATTTTGGCTTAAAAAGTTAATGCTACTTGACTTAGCTACTCCACTGTGGGAAAACCATTCCACTAATGCTGCCTTCCTCCACAAAATCACACCTCCTTGAGTTTCCCGTACATAATCTGTATGCGCTCTTCATTTAAACCTGTCTCCCCTAATGCTGGGCTCTCCAACGCCCTCAAAGAGCTATCCAAATTTAGCTTTAAATAAGCCTTTAGCTAGTTTAAATACTTCCATCAGGTCACTTCTTAATCATCACCTCGCAGGATAAATAATCCAAATTTCATCAATTTCTTCCTGTAGGTGAGCACCTCTTTTCTGTTAATCCTCCTCCCTGCCCTCAGCTGTACTCCCTCTGATTGAACTTGATCTTCAAATAAGGTAAGAAAAGGTGGAGTCTGGACTTGAAGTGTGATCTACCCGGCACTGGAGAAGCGGTAACACCTTCTCCTCCTCCTCGCACGCACCGCCAGCTCGCCACGTATTAGCTTTCTTCTCTTCCATGAGCTGCCAAGTTGAAAATTAAAATGTTTGATCTACCACTACACCATGTTCCTTCTGCTTCCCTGATATTAACCGTGCATTAAGTCCATTCTATGATAAACCTGGAGTGACTCCCCAGGTATCACCGTGTTAAGGGGACTGCTACAATTGGGGTGCAACAGAGATCGCACCGGCACGGCGGGGCCAGGCGTCACTGCTGTCCTCAGCATCACTCGTCCTTGGGCACGTCAGGAGTCCTGTTGCTGCCCTCATTCTGGTGAGATTATTAATTAATGTTTGTAAAGCACACTGAAAATGCAAAGTGCTAACTATCCACTCATTAAACCCTGAGGATCATCCTACCATTTGCTGTGCTGTCCAGGTCAGGTAAGTGGAAAATGACTCTCCCAGCTGCCCCTCAAGCACCCAACTGCTCGTCTCCATCACCAGCCATCGCCACCGACCTCTCCGGGTAGAAACATCAGTATCACCAATTGCAACACGTTTTCAGCACGTGCTTAATATTTAACCTGTTCTTACAAACTCTTCATAACCAGGCTGTTTTTCTAAATTAAGGACCTCATCAAAAGCATCCCGCGCTCGATACCTGGAATCCTCCAAGCCCGCGCGGGAAGGAAAGCAGCAAAACAGGCTCGCTTTCTCCAGGGAAAAGGCAACATAGAAAAGCAATGAAGGAGAGAGAGAAACAAAAGCAAGCCCTAAAATATCCTGCACTACCCCACCAATTCCCAACATGACCCTTAAAATGACCTTCAGTGAAGAAAGACCACTGCGCAGGCACAGGGGACCTTCCTTGCTGGGAGATACCCCATAAATGTCTCTTCTCAAAGCAACACGCCGAGATGCCACGCGGCAGCCCTGCCGGCGCAGGGGCTGCTGCGCCCAGCCGGTACCCCAGCACCTACCTGGCACGGTGATCTGGATGATGTCCAGCTCGTCCGGCTCAATTTTGATCTGCCTGATCCCACCCAGCTCTCCTGAGGTACCTACCGGGGAAAGGCAACGAAAGACAATCGCCAACAGGAACAAGCAATGCCACGTTTGCCCGCCGATGCGGGCAAGGAAACCACGGCCGGCGCGACTTCAGTGCCAGCTGAGCATACTGCAGCAACGAGGCTTTGGGCAAGTGGCCCAGCAACATCAAGCCTATGGCATGGAGGTACCCAAAGGATGTCCGCAGGCATGGCTACTGCAAACAGCTTGGCTGGCAAAAGCCACCGTGCCCTTGAACCGGCTGCCAGCCCTCGTTACGTGCTCGTTTCCTGGCTTTCTTCACTTAAAATGAACTGTCACCAACAAGCATTGGTGGGGATGCAGGAGGAGCCATCTCCAATGGGCACTCCCGGCGTTTTTAATGCTCCCAAACTCGTGTTTGGGACAAGCCCCTCTGCAGACCCGTGCTCTGGGAGGGCCGAGCGCAGCCACATCACACCAGGGCATGACCAGCTGAACCCTGGCAAAATTCAGCGTGGTTTGAAGCCACCCCGGGCAGGGAGCCTGCGCCGGCCTGGCCATCCCGCAGAGGCTGCCCAGGGAGGATGCTGCATGTTGCCTCAAGTTGCACCAAGGGAGGTTTAGATTGAACATTAGGAAAAATTTCTTTACTGCAAGAGTGGTCAGGCCTTGGAACAGGCTGCCCAGGGAAGTGGTGGAGTCACCATCCCTGGAGGTATTTAAAAGACGTGTAGATGAGGCGCTTAGGGACATGGTTTAGTGGGCATGGTGGGGTTGGGCTGACGGTTGGACTCGATGATCTTGTCCAAGTTACTTTGCAGGCAACTTTCTCTAGTGCCCCCACCCAATATCACTATTTTGCGAAAGAAAACGAATTATTCCTCACCTGGTTCACAGCTTTCAGAAACACTACACTTCTCGGACCTGGAAGGGAAAGGCAGACAAGAGAGGTGGTCATGGAGCAAACAAAGGGAAAGCTTAAAACCAGCGGTGTGCGTTGGACTGATCCTGGCAGGAGGGAGAAGCACCGCAGCCCCCTGCGATGCCAGGCAAGGGCTGCGGAGGGGTCCCCGGGGACACTGCACCCACGGTCCCAGCAGCAGCACAATGTCCATGGCTGCAAGGGAAAGCCATGGTCTGCGGGTTTCTCTGCAACCAAGCCCTGCTCCCAAACTCTGGCCCTACCGCTAGACACCGATAGATGTATCCGCAGCAGAGAGCTCCTGAAAGCAAGAGGGGTTTTAAGCCCGAAACCTGGTCGACTCCATCCCTTTGCGGCAGAGAGCAGTGCATAAAGCATCATTACAATGTGGTTACTCATGGAGGTAACGCAAATAGGGAGAATGGAAAAAAGTCAATTGATACGGTAAATATTTATTCTGCCCAAAGCTTTTCTCCCCTGAAAACTGGGCGCTATCCCAAACTTGCGTCTACAGTTAACTTCGCATGCTCGGGAATTTACAGAAGGTGTTCAGCATCCAAATGAGATCATTTTGCATTCTCAGGACACGGTTGCTTTCTGTCTCTCTCTTTCTTAAACAAGAACAACCACGGCGCTTTGGCAGTAAATGATCTAAGGAACGGCACTGGAAAACGCACTCCTCCAAAACGCTGGTCCTTCAGGAGGAAGGAAAACCCTTCTGAGCCAGCGCCACATCGCTGTTGGCTCAGGGGGAATGTTCAAAAGCACTTCTCGCTCGCCTAAATCCACTCAGCAGCGTCAGCAGAACAAACTACGGGCAATACGAGCACTACAGGAGTGCTCTTGAAATGTTCTTCCTAAACGTGGTATGGGTAAAAAGGATCTCTGGTCTAGAAAGTACTGTATATATTACCTAGGAGGTTGGGAAGGGTTTTCAACTCTGCCACTTCAGGTCAAAGTCAACCTTTCCCTAGGGAAATTTGGGAGGGGGGCTTCCCTGGGGAGCACGTTGCCCCCCGCGGTACCTGGCCCTTCTCCCTGGAGCATCTGGCACTGCCCTTTCCCTGGAACTGGACTCTGACCCGGGGGGACCACTGCTACGGAAATGCTCTGCTCCTACCAGGGAACAGAGGCTCCTCATCTGCAGGAAGAACAAAGTGGGATTTGAATATCCACGTATTTTTTCCTGCAGATATGTGTTATCAATGCATCAGGAGATTTTGGGAGATTTAAGCTTACCCCTGCGGCAGGTAAAGCAAGCTGTGCACCACCGCTGCAGTCCATGATTCCCTTTGCAACCAGAGGCGCACATGAACCTCGGGGTCCGTGGCCCGATTCAATATGCACACAGACAGCGTAAATTAGGAACAAAGCATATATATACACACAGCTAGGATGAATTTGAAAGCGATCCCAGGATGATCTTTAGGTTGTGCCAGACTGACACCAGTGGAAGGCGGTCACCCCAGCCCAGCCCAGCTTTGTCCACATCACAGCAACACGGGGAGGGTGATCTGAATCCAGCTGTGTACAAAGCACCCCTAAAAAAACTATTTTTCCCCCATAGGGTCTTCTAAAGCGGTTTTACCGCACCGAGCAAACCCTATCTGGCTCACAGCTGGAGTGCGGCAGGCGAGACGGGGATGGCGCAGCACCAGCGAGGGCTGTACAGGGACCACGAGCCCCCGGCTGCCCTCAGAGCTCTGCAGCGGCAAACCTCAGCTCCCACCCCACTGGCACGCTGCTGCAGACCCGCGGGGGCTGGTTTTTTACCTATTGCTTTGCAGAAACCAGCTCAACATCCATACTATCCCGTCCTTCCTCCTCCTTGTTTCCAGTCACACCAATTTAACTGCACAGTGGGATCTTCTGTGGCAAAAATTAGAAGTGTCCTAATTGCAAATGTTAACAAATGAATGGGAAAACGAGAAGCCTCAGGCCAGGTTTCAGCCCCGCAGCATGCTTAGGGGCCAGCGGTATTTGAAGCATCACCATTTCCCCTGGCATCCTGCATGCAACAGATGCTCTGCCGCTCCCCAAGTCTAAACACCTCCAGACATGGAGCAATTCAGCAAGGTGCGGAGAGCAATCGAGAGCTGGCTGAGAAATGGTTTTGTGGCTAAGCCCTAGCTGGGGATCCTGGAGATTCAAGTTTAATTCCCTGTAACACCGGTGAAGCACCTCAGGCCTGGATCCAGCCCAGCTAAGTTCCCACTGCAGACGTCTCTTGCCAAGGCTCTCAGCTGGAGTCCCTTCATCAGGGGGTGAAACAGGCACTCGTGGGGCGTGATTCCTCCAACGCGTTTTAAACGGTTGGAAAGGGCTGACTCACCCGGCGCACTGAGCTCGCTGCTGATGAAAGGTGCTGGAGCGACTCAGCCAGCCCTGCTCCGGCACGGACGCCCGAAGGCAGCCACCGCCAGCCTCCCTGCGGCAGAGCGGGTGAGCGGCCCTGCTGCCACGGCCCTGCTTCACCAGCACAGCATCTGGGATTGCTGTCCTTTGGGGGAGACACCTGCACGCTGAGCATTGACCGTTTCAACCCATGTGCAATATCAATGCACAGAGCAAACCAGTATCACCCACAGAGACCCACTCCAGGCAAGCCAACCCAACCACCCGTTCACCTTACCCCCCTTCCCATGCCCACGGTTGACTCTGCCTTGCATCAGAGCTCCAGCGTGGCATGGCTTATGTCGCACTCGCAGCCAACGGTACAAGGAAGTGGGGCCAGCCTCTGCAAAGTGCAGGAAACGTCACTGTGGCATAGCATGGGGCACGAGTGACACCCATGGGTGCTCCCAGCACCTTGTCCCTGGCAGAGGAGAGGATGAGAAGAATGTGGCTTGTTCCACTTAGTAAAACGAAGCCTGGGAGGGGACACGATGGTGTCCCACAGCAGTGGGGCAGCAAGCTTGTGCAAGAGCCATCCCAACGCCATGGGGTAAAACCACCCCCAAACCCTCCTTTGAAGCTGGAGATACCCAGAGGGCTGGGTGACGAATGCCAGCCCTGCAGACTGGGCAGCTCGAGAGGTTTCTGCCCTCCGAAGTTGCGAGATTTCAGTGCTTGGTGCACTGCCGGGCTCGCTCGCTGCCTGCTCTAACACTGCCGACATGGCAGGTTCCCCTGCCCAGGGGGAGCACGGCTTTAGAGGCACACGGCAGCCCCATTCAAACCTGAAAAAGCCCTGGGGAGAACCAGGAGACTCCAACCTGTTGCAGGTTCATGCCAACAAAGAGTCAAGGAGGGAGGGGAACCCAACATATGCGATGGAGGAGACGGGGACAAGTTACCTCATCTCCCCATCCCGGCCTGCAGAAGTTACCGACCCCATAGCAGGGTCCGCAGCCCCGGCGGGTGGGGGTGTCGGCGCTGGGCGGCGAGACTTGGAGCCGGAGAGGCTGAGGAGCACTCGCTCCTACACCCCTGCTCCCGAGCCTCCCTGCAGCCAGCGGCCTCCAGCACGGATGTGCGGACAGACAGCCCAGCAAAGCTCATTTTGCTGCTTGCAAACCCATCCATGACCGAGCTGGCCGTGCGGGAGCAAAGCTGGAAAAAGGCTCCTTTCCTTGAGGCACAGCCTTGCCTGCGAGCATCAGTTATACTGCTATGAACTGCTGTCCCGCTTCTCTTATTTAAAGTGATTTTAAGGGTAAATGTTGGGGCTAAATATTACCTTGCTTCTGACCAGCTGAAGCAAAAATGCAGGAAACTGGGGCTACACAGAGAAAAATACCTTCTGGATCTCCCAGCACGGGTTGGAAAGCAATGCTATATGCTCTATAGGCGCTGCCAGCACATTACAGACCCATCTAGCTCGTGGCATGGTTGTACCAGAAGCATGTACTCTCGTAAAAAGCCTCTGCTGAACTCTATAACCCCACCTTTATTAAAACATCCGTTAATCCGCTGTTAGTCTCCCTGTGAGCTTTATAAACAAGTAACGCTTAATTAGCAGGATGTTGTGTTACGGTGCTGGCTGAGGATGAATCCTTAGGCCATGCTTTAATACCGGAGATTGCTCCTGCAGATAATCCCAGCCTGCCCAGGCACGGCCCCGATTTCATCAGTTTTGTACAAAATCAATGATTCCAAACTTTGCTATTTTAACTCGCAAAAGGATGGGGGTGCCCGGTCTCCTCCTGTGCCGGCTAGCTGTACCATCACAGTGGCTTTTTAGGGAGGCAGGAAAGCAACACCCTTGCAGCCACTCGCCTTCCCACCACGTTACCTACAGCATCTCCCCAGTGCTGCAGAATTGCACCCGTCGCACCCTCCCGTGCCCGTCCTTCCCAGCCAGCGTGTGAGCCGGCAGCACAGCAATAATCCGCTGTGCACATTAACACCCCCAAAATAACTCTCCGAGGGCCATCACTTTGCGGTGGCCGGGGGACAGGAGTGCCACTTACCTGCTGTTGGCCTGAGAGGTCCCCGCCAGGTCCAGCACGGCCCCGCGGTGCGGCTCGGGGGAGATCTCCCCGGGGGGGCTGGAGGGCTCCAGCTTGGTTGGATCTTTGGTAAATTTGCTTCCTGGTGCCAGGTGCACAGGGCAGGTTTGGAAGGAAAAGCAAAACCAGAATTAGCAACCAGAGAGGCCAACGATGATGCAGCTTTTCCACCTCCATTTCTTCCCCCTCTAGTCCCAGAGCTGAGGTCAGGGTGGGGGACAGGTTTTCAAGAGTCACCCGCTTGCAAAGAGAAGGGTGCAGATTTAATTGGGTTTACACATTAAAATAATAGCAAGACGCTTGCTTAAACCTCTGTATATCTAAGTGTGTGCTGGGAAGCCCTGCCGGGGATGGAGCATCTCTGGAAAGGGCTGGCTGCCGGGACAGGGTGCGGAGAGGTGGGGACCAGGCTCAGGAAATCCAGGGATGGGCAGGGCCACGGACCAGTGCTGCAGGAGCAAGCCCCAAAGCAAGAAGACCTCTGTCCCAAGGGAGGGGACGTGCTGCGCTGGACGGGAGCTCAGCAAAGCCCAGAGCAACGGTGCCATGGGGAGCCCCATCCCGCAGCTCCGAGCCCTGCAAGCAGCAGGAGAAATCTCTGCTGCAACAAAGCAGAGGGGGACAAAAGCATTTTGTCACCATGAAAAACCTCCTCTCTCCCTTCACTGTTCCTCAGCAACCTGAAAGGAGCTGAAATGAAGCCTCAGCAATGACCTTGGAGATGAAAAGAGTGATCTGAAGGCAAGGTAGGAAATGAAAATCGGGCGGGGAAGGTGAGCAAAGAGTTGAAGGATTAGTGCTGGGAGAAGGAGGGAATGAAATTACGCCGTGAGGCTGCAGAAACCACGTAGGTGTCTTGCTAAATAGCTGCTGCCAAAGGCCATTTGCTGGTCTCAAAGTGCCATCGCGACATCCCCACCCTTCCAAAACACATCCCATCCGTGGGAACATGAAGCCTTTTTCCTTTCAGCTCCAGCCTGCAAGGAAGGGCAGGGCTCTGGCAATGGGACCAGCAGCCATATAGAGCCTTAAAGACACTATTTATCTACCGACAGTCCAAAAGGCTCCTTTTAATTTGTGCTTTCTATGGACCAAATCTTGTTCTTGCAGCAGCAAAGCCTGCCTGAAGCTGCTACCCAGGGGAGTAGCAAAAATAGGTTTCCTAGCAGTGGTGGGTATTTTAATTAAAGGGTGAGCAAAACTGTACGGGGAAGCTTTGGGATACTTTACAGTCGGCAACTTAAAATACAGCTCCACTCAGAAAATAGTGTCTTTGCAAAAATGGCACCTCCTGACTCAGCAGAAGCTTTTTTTTTTTTTGCACAGTCAGATGTGCTGATGCGAATCACAAAAAGCCAGGTTTAACGTGTTTTGCTTCTGGTAGCCCTGCAGGGACCAGGCAGGGGAGGGGGAACTGTCATCCACCCCAGTCCTGCTGGGTTTGCTTCCTCATCTCCTAATTTCCACTTCTACCTCCCTGCCACGTAACCCCCGAGCTCGTAGCACGGTGCTTTCCATCAGCAGCTCTTGAGCTGATGTACAGACACATGCGATGCCTCCCCCTCTGGATACCGCGCAACCATGATGGATTTGCAAGGAAAATCCAAGCACCCCAAGACACAGTTCAGTGCTCCAACCCTTGGGGGTAGGTTAGAGCTTAAAAAATTCCTTTCTTGAGAAAAAAAGTCATTAATGGGGCTGGAGACAAAGAAACCCCCCCTCTGCTGGAGGTCCCACCCCTCTGCTGGGTGGCTCCGGCGTCATTGTCCCCAGGGAGCACCGTTGGGGCTGGGGCTGTCGCGGGGCCACAGGGGTTAATTTGGCCAGCGGAGATGTCAGAGAAGAAGGTGGTGTCGGGAAAGCCGCCAGCGTGCGGGGTTGGCAGCTTGGGGAAAAAAAACCAACCACCCCAAAACACGTCTTTACTTGCGAGCCAAGCCCAGGTGATCCGGGAGCGGGGCTGGGCGGTGATAAATTCGGGTGCAGTGCCGTATTTCAGGTGGGTATCAGGGCAGTGGGACAGGGGCAGCTGCTGGAGTGAGGGTCGGGTCGAACCGCACCAGTCCCTGTCTCCTTTTATCTACCAAGAAGCACTTAGCCTAGCTTTTCCAGCTCAAAGCAAAAGGAGTAAAAACACAAGGTGAAGAAAGCCAAAGAAACCCCCTCTCAGGGTTTTGTCACTGAAAAAAATGGATTTTTGTTGTTTTTCTTTTAAAAACACTCAGTGGCTGGCTGATGCTAGCACTTCGCAGCCAAAACCAGAGAATAATTTACCAGTGAGGAACCCGGCAGTGATTTTTCTTCCTCCTGAAAGCACAAAAACATGCCGTGTGCTGCCTGTAGCTGCAGCTCAGCCCGGCGCAGGGAGCCAGCCCAGCCTCACGCACTGGGGATTTCTCACTTAAAGCTTCAAAACACTATTTAAGGGGCACACAGTGCTTGCACTGATCCCAGGCGAAGGCAATCTTAGCACGCCCAGGTGTAGGGCACAGACAAGGCTTCTCTTCATCGAGCGTGATTGCACGTGTCCTGCAATTTTCCTGCTTACAGGTGATATTATTTCAACTCTGCCTCTCTAGATAATCTTCCAATTTGGGGGGCAATAAATCAAAGGACATGGAGAACATACCTGTAAAAATTCTCTCGTCAAACATCCTAGGAGGAAAGGAAAAAAAAAAAGGGATTAGAAATAGGTGCTTCTAATGACTGAATTTTAGGTTTTATTAAAGAACAGCATTAAACCAAGTCAAAATAGTAATTTTATTCATTCCCTAAAAATGAGAATGATTTTTTCAGCTAAAAAAACAAAACACCAACCTTTTAGCCTGTTGTGCAACCAAGCAATCTTACAGCATATGCTTTTTAACTAAAGCACCTTTAAATCTGCTTATAAGTCATTCTCTTCATTTAATTAACTTATTAAATGAGGCTGCTACAGGCTGGGTTTACCAAAAGAGACAATGGGATAGAAGTAGCTGTTGCTGGAGCTTCACTTCACGACATAGACCATCGACCAGATGCCACCAGTATAGACCTGCAGAATTTACACTCTCCCGCTTTGGCACGCGTACCCTTGGGGATGTCACCTTTCTCTCAAATATTGTATTCTGGAGCCACCCACAACTTCTATGCAAAGGTACTCCTGGGAGCAAAGCATGTTCAAGGGCACGTCCTGGGGCCTGATCCAGCCCAGCACAGCCCAAGCGGTGCAGGACAAAGTGGCTCCTCCACCAGCCGACATCTGGAAAGCTAATTCCTTTTAGGATGCCCGAGTCCTGTTGAAGTCGGTGATTTTAGCCCCCTTGGAAGCCTTAACTGGGCATTTTCTGCGCCGTAGTTTCACACCTCTAGCAGGGGAACAACACAAGTGCTGCACAGGAAGGGACTGAATAAATAAATATATTATAAAGCAGATTTTCCTGATGGAGAAGCAAAGAGGGGTTGCACAGCACAGAGATAACCGGGAAAGCGTCCACTCCTCCTACTCCAGTGCAATCACAGACACCAAGACACAACGCCCTGCCCGTAGGCGACACATCCTCATCATCGTATATACAGGACATCCATAAGCAATCACCGCAAAACAAGGTGGAGGGGAATCCCCGCGCAGCGTGAATATGGATATTCCTCCTCCCACCTGGAGGCTCCGCTCCCATCCGCCAAATGCCATTGGAGAGAGTTGTGCCGCGATCGGAGGGTCCCGTTTTAGGGTGCCACTGGCAGTGTTTGCACGGACTTACAACAGGGTGGAGGGGCTCAGGGGTGGCCATGCCACGGCCAGCCCTGTCACATCCTCACAAAAAGGGAGAGAGAGATGGAAACCGGAGGTTTGGGGGGGAAAAAAGAGCTGTTTAGCTCTTTGCCATAAAAAAGGGTAAAATGAGTTTTGGGTGTCAAAACAAACCCTGTGAGCATGGAGGGAACAGAACTTAAATCCCCGAGCCCCCTCGAGCCCGTGCACTCTCCCTTGCCCTCCTCGCCACTCACCTTTTGATGACAAAATGGATGTTGTGCCTCTCCTCCAGTATCCGCTTGAGTTTGGGGACGCCATAGGTGCAAGGTCTTTTGAAGGGTATTTTGTCCGGGATGCCGATGATTTCCACCGCCTCGGGGTCACAGGCAATTTTCCGGTACGGGACGGGGACCATGTGGTCTAACCCCAAGGCTTCAGCTGAAAGGTGAACACATGGTTTTCACTTAAACACATGCTTTTCCTTTTACAGATGATAAAATGAAGGTGTAAAGGCTTGAACTCAAGGCAGAAGTGCCTCCTGCCCTCTTCTCCTTCGCTCATTCCAGAAGGCAAGCCCCGGGAGCAGCTCGCCGCTGGGACACGGGACGACAGAGAGACAGCGCAGCAGCAAACACAGCTGATGGCATCCTCCAAAACCCCCAAACGCACCCGGCGTTGCTCAAACAAGGGATGAGCTGGCCCATGTACCGTCCCCAACCTCCCCATGATGGCAGCAGGTTGCCGAGCCGTATAACTCACAAGTTGGATAGCACATATACAGGTTATAAGTTACAGAGTTCATCTATAGCCCATATATAACTCACAAGTGACATAGCACAGAGCCCATACATATCTATAGCCCATCTATAACTCATGAGTTACACATGCTGATGAGGACGGTATAAGCGACAACCTCCAGCCCATCAGCCCATTCCCAAGCAATTTCCTGAGCTTACAGCTGCCCAAACGCCCAGGAACTAACCCGAAATCACTGCCTGGGGCAAGGGGAGCACCAAAGATGCCCGTAAGCTGTGCAGGTGGAAAAAAAGCAGCTGCAATAACAACAATCTTCTTTTTCCTTGCCATATTAATTTAAACCGGCCATATGCCTCTGCCTGGGCACTCTGACCTGGCGTGCCACGCTTCAAACCGGGGCTGTTTTACAGCCCAGTTATAAATTCCTCGATGGTGGGGGGGGCTTCAAATGGAAATATTGACATAACCTTCAGCAGACACCCAGAGACCGGGAGCTGCTGGGCTAAATGTGTTAGGAAGAGAAGGGAGCTCTAGCATATGGCTTCTGCTGCTGTGTTAGGGAACAAAAATGATTGCTATATAATGATATGCAAACCACAAGCACTGCAGATGCATAATGGGATATTAACTCCTACTCACCATATCTGCTGTTAAACAGAATTTGCACGCACTCCCTAAGGGTGTTGATATCTTCAGTTTCTTTTATAAAACTGTCCCACTTATCTATCAAAACAAAATATAAGAAATAAGGAACTTCCATATGGTTCGTACAGAGCAGATGCACTTTTCTCGCGCGAAGCGCTGGGAAGCAGGAACAAGACTTTGCTTCTTTAAAAATAATGATTTCTCTCTTCCTGAGCGGATTCTGCCAGGCTGGCAGATAAGGTCTGGGCTTCCCCAGCCCCAGCCCCAGCCCCAAGCAACCTCCTCTGTAGCCGTGCATGTGCAAAGCAGATTCCTAAGAAATGACCCCATAAAACTTCTCAACCCTGAAATGAAAGACCCTCTGGGACAGAGCAAACTCAACCTGAAACGAACCTTTGAAAGGCACAGCCATTTCACAGAGGAGCTTTTTCATCTCCTCTTTTCCAAATTTCCCACCCATATTTTTTTCTTTTTCTTAACAAACGCAGGCAAGGGTTTTGATGTAAACATGTCAGCATTTTTAGGTTGCATTTCCCTTGGGTGGGGTGGAGGTGGGGAAATGGCAAAGTCTCCTCCCCATTGCTGATCCCCCCGGGCGCTGCTGCAGAATCACACCGGGGTTAGTGGGTTTCAGTTATTTTGAAATAGCGCCAAGCTTTCGGCAGGTATTTGCTGTTTGCAGCTTGGGCAAACGGCCTCACGCAAAGCCGTGCCTCGGTTCCCCATGCACAAAGCGGGGATGGGGTTTCCCAGCCGGCCGGCAGTGCTCGAGGACCGAGCGTC